ATATATATATATATATATATATATATATATATATATCTATATATATATATATATATATATATATATATATATATATATATATATATATATATATATATATATATATATATATATATATATATATATATATATATATATATATATATATATATATATATATATATATATATATATATATATATATATATATATATATATATATATATAAAAACAAAAAACTATTTTAGACAAATAAAGTGTTGCATATTGATATTTCTGTTTCTTACCTTGTTAAATCATTGTTGAGAACTATTGAGAGAAATCATTAACATGATCAGTGTCTTCACACAGATGAATATCATTAATCATTAATAATAACAACATATGATTAAAAGTAAATTGAGAAAAATTGTTATTTAAGAAGTGTGTATCAAACTGGTAGCCCTTCACAATAATTGGTACCCAAGCAGTAGCTCTCAGTTTTAAAAAGGTTGCTGACCTCTGTTATAGGGTCATGGTCTGTTTGGAAGTCCCATTTGTGGCAAAGTTGTAATTTCCTGGCTGATGTCTTGAGATGTTGCTTCAGTATTTCTTCATGATGCCATATATGCTGTGAAGTGGACCAGTCCCTCCTGCAGCAAAACAACCTCACAACATGATGCTGCCGCCCCCATACTTCAAAGTTGGGATGGTGTTCCTAAGCTTGTAAGCTTTCCCATTTGTCCTCCAAATGTTACTGGTCAACAGTTCAATGTTCAACACTTCAATGTTAGTTCCATCAGACCACAGGGCATGTCTCCAAAAAAATAGTCTTTTTCCCAGTGAAATTTAGCATATTAGTAATCTGGCTTTTTTGTTGATTCTGGCTTAATGATTTTCCCATGTTGTCACAAAAGGAAGCAATGTGTTTTCATTCATTTATTTTCTTTTCGGCTTAGTCTCTTTATTAATCTGGGGTCGCCACAGCGGAATGAACCGCCAACTTATCCAGCATATGTTTAACACAGCGAATTCCCTTCCAGCTGCAACCCATCTCTGAGAAGCAGTGTGTTTGAGGTTTTCTTTAAATACTATTGTACAGTTGTGCCTCAATTAACTCAAATGTTGTCAATTTGCCAATCAGAAACTTCCAAAACCTAATTTTAGACTGTGATCCTAATTAATTAATTACTTTATTAATTTATTAATTAATTCAAAAATTTTTTTTTGTTAGATTAGTTTCAATTTTGTCTTTGGTACTGACTAATCTAATGTATAGCCTATATATTTTTTTTAAAAATATTTCCTGAATTATGTTTTACAGAGCAAGGAAATTTTCACAATATGTCTGATAATATTTTTATTTTCTGGAGAAAGTTTTTTGTTTCATTTTGGCTAGAATAAAAGCAGTTTTGTATTTTTAAACACCATTTTTAGGTCAAAATTATTAGCCCCTTTAAGCTGTATTTTTTTTTTTTTTTTTGATAGTCTACAGAGAAAACCATCATTATACAATAACTTACCTAATTACCCTAACCTGCCTAGTTAACCTAATTAACCCAGTTAAGCCCTTAAATGTCACTTAAAGCTCTATAGAAGTGTCTTGAAAAATATCTAGTCAAATATTATTTAGTATCATCATGGCAAAGATAAAATAAATCAGTTATTAATATATGAGGCTAATAATTCTGACTTCAACTGTATATATAGGCCAATGTAAAGCATTCTATATAAATTATTCAAAAGAGAGATCGGTGCACTGTAGCTTACCCTACTTTATAATCTTTATTTTCATTTAATAACCTTTAGATGGCGCCAGCACTTATATATCGCAATTTTTTTACACAAGCAAGCAGAGACATGCAGACGATTAGTTCTGCCTGGTTCATGGATCGATGCCATTCGCTGCACTTGCTTTGCTGAAGTAGGTGTTTGATGGCTACTGCCTGGATGATTGGGCCTGAATGGAGTGCTTTAGTTCAGATGGAGTTTCAACCACAGCGAACATGTCGGATTGCGTAACCCCCAGGTAAACAATGTTGTGGTGCTTTGCACATGTCTGACAAGAGGTGTGTGTTGGTGACTAAGGCTGGGTCAGTTGTGGTTATTTTTTAGCCGCGCAGAGTTTGTGTTTGTCCTTGTTTACAGTGTTTGTCAGCCTGTGTTTTGAATGCGTTTAATCTAAGCTCTGTGAATGTTACCGAGTTTTTTTGTTTCGTTTGTTTTGGAATGAAACTGTTTTTCGTCGTGCTGTTTTTTATTTATTTTAGCTTGATGTGTCAAAGTGAGAGGACTGTGATAGTTCTGTGCACTATATGTAGGTCATACTTTAATCCATTCCTGAAGCTGACCTGAGTTAAAGGGCTAGTTCACACAAAAATTAAGCATGTGCATTATAAAGCAAGTTGGTTTTATGTTCGCACATTCTGACTTTTTCCTTAATATCTATCTATATATCTGCCAGTATGCTTATAGGGCGTATAAATAATACGTATATATATATATTTATATATATATTTATATATATATATATATATATATATATATATATATATATATATATATATATATATATATATATATATATATATATATATATATATATATATAGATGCTGAGCACTGTGTGTATCCATGTTCATCGTTTGCAATCTCATAACCCAAGGCCTTTGTCACTTTTTTACTCTGAGTCTTCAAGCAATCCCGCCCTCCTGAGTCTTGGGAATCTTCCTAAAAACACAACAGTCTAGGCCTCTCTCTCTCTCTCACTCTCTCAATCCCAGTCCCCCCTTGCTCCATCTCTCCTCCCTCCCCACAGCCCAATTAGGCTGAAGGTCGAGCTGCATTGTGGTTGGGGGTGAGGGAACGGGTGGAGACGATGGGGGAGAGTGTGAAAGAGGGAAGGGGGGGGATTGAGACCACCAACACGTTCCCTCCATCACATGACCAGCCTTCAAACCCCGGCCTGTGCTGCGGGAGGAAAGGCAGCATCCTGTGGGTGTTTTGTGCTCT